CCCAGAACTCGCTCCTCCGCCTCCGAACTGAGCTGAGGAGATGGAACTTGTGCTGATGTGAGGAAAAATAAACCACATCGCTGGAATACTGGATATAATCCCTAAGGTTTTAGATGCTCAGCCTTGCATTTGACAGATGGGAGAGTGTTAAGCGGAAATGGAACGGTGGGGTTGTTCCCCAGAGCGCTTCACGGAGATCACCACGGGAGGGCAATATCTCCTCCTGCTTTTCATCCCGACTTCGGAGTTTCTGCAGCAGCAGCTCTTCCCTCTGGGAAGAGACTCACGGTTGTCATCGGGGCGTTAGGGCAGAGTGCTCAGCTGCAGCATGTTGAAGGGCCTGCTTTACGCATGCATCCCTCTAATTCCCAGACGGCATCCCATCTGTCCTGGGGAAAGCATCCTCTGTCTACAGAACACCCCCTAGACCTAGCACGTGCAGTATTCTCCAGGGAAGAGCAGGACACGTTCCGTTCGGAATAAGTGTTGGATGTCTGCTAACTTCCCTGCTGCAGTTGTCATCAGCCAGACGCCCCGGGGAGCCCTGAGTTCAGCATTAATCCTTCCTGGAGGACGCATCAAGCGGTCTCTGGTCCCGGGCAGTGGGGAGCAATAATTGGCAGCTTGGAGATGAGCTGGGCGATGGTGGCTCCTCACATACAACATCAGTTCTCCTCGTGGCCCGAGTTTTGGTCCTCGCCCCAGGGAAGAAAAGCAGGAGGAATTTCCTTCCTGAGAATTGAACTCCGCTGTCTGAGTTAGGTTTTCAGGGCTGTTGCGGGGGGTGGTTTCTTTTCTTTTACTGAGTTTCAGGCTGCTGTGCTACACTCCCCTTGCCCACCCTGAGCACTGACAGGGCGGCTGCGATCCTGGGGAGCGCATCCTTTTGTCCTGAGGTTCCAGCCTCTCAAGGGAGAGGCGAAAGGCTTTACTTGCACGGCTAGAGCAGGCACATCTGGGCACACTCCAGCTCAAGTGGGTCGTTCTAACTCCGCTCGCTCATCAGCAGGTCATGCCGTGCGCTGGAAAATCCGTGGCCAAAAGCCTACGTGGGACTGGCATCAGCTGAGTGATTTTTTTCAGCTTGATGGGGTTTTCATTCTTCAGTGAAGTGCAGTGCGTAACGAGACCTAAAAGCGTGGTTGGCAGAGGAGCAGGGGGATGGAGTCTGACGCTTGCTAGGACACACCTTTGTACCTTTTGAGATAGCACTCGGCCAGGTAACGTGCTGGTGCCATCTCCTGTGGCCCTCAGGTGTGTTTCGGAACTGGAAGCCAGAGGGAGGGAGCAGCCTGGGGACCCAGAGGCATGATAGGGATTTTCGTTATCTTTTCTCCTGCTTTTGTCTTGTTTAACCGTGTGTGACTCCATACGGTGACGATATTCCTGTTACGCAGTGGATGATAACGCACTTCCAGGGTGTGGGCAGGGAAGGCTGCTGGTGCTGCAGGAGGGCTCCCCAGGCTGGAGCCAAGCCAGTCCCAAGAACGAAGTTAACGTCCAGCTCGAGGCTGTTTCTGCCATCACCATCGTTTGTAATGAAAGCGGGAACGGTTTGGGGAGGGGTAGCAATTTCAGTGCTGGCAGTTTGTGACCCACTGAGAACGTTTTAATGCTTATCTTTTTTCCTTTTTTTAACTAGAAGAAAACTAGTTTGCTAAGTCTTTGCTTTGGATAAGCCAGAAAATGAACTAAGGGGGTGTAGGCATTGCACAGAAACATGATGAAGGGATCTTCCCTTAAAAGCAGGGAGAGACGGATGCTTGTGTTCTGCAGAGCTGCAAATCTTACCTCCGTGTCGATAAATGTTCCTCTTCTCTCCAAAGACTCCAAACAGCTTCTGATGACTTGGTGTCTGTGTGGATAACAGATCATCAGAAGAACAAAAATGTGTTTTTAAGCATCAGTGTCTCTTCAAGCTGCATCATGTGTGACAAAAGAGATCCTTGAAATGGGCATTACTGGTTTTGGGTAATGGCATACAGTTGGTTTGACACTAGTTACTGAAGCCGAGGTTGAGACCTCAGTTTCCCTCCTTCAAACTGGACTGAAATCCATCCAAGTTTTCATTAAAAGGATAACAAAGAAAAAAAAAAAAGTGGATTTCCGTTCACTTTAAAGCTTTTTTGATCTAGCCCAGTATGTTAGAAATTTTTTAGAAACAGAGCAAGAAGGGAAAAACGCGCAAAGCTGCCTTCTCTTGACACGGGAAATCCCACCCTTGGGTGCCTGCTGCGTGCATGGGACGTCCCGGAGTCAGACAGCTCTTGGGACTCCGCCACCGGAGACGTGGCGTCACGCTGTGGGCCTGCCAGCCCACTGAGCGTAGCACTAGCAGTAATTCCTTGGGCATTCCTTGGAGAGAATGAGTGGGAAACCGTGCTGGGGTTTGGGTTTTTGCGTTTCTCACTGAACGGAAGGAGAAAATGACCTTTTTGTCTCCATTGAAAACCCCGTCGTTGGTGTTGGAGCTTCCTGGGTATTTTGAAACGAAATGAAACCTTCTACACTGTTTTAGAAATGCACTTTAAGTACCTTTTTAAAGAAGATTCCTATGTTCTGGGATGCAGAAGGGACAGGAATAATATTTGCAGACCACATAGAAAGGGTTTTTCGGTCAGTGTCTAATAGTCCTTATCACTGATCAGCAAGGTATTTCAAAGCAAAGACTTTGCTTTTTGCTGCTTGTTATCTAATTTACCGGGGTTTAATTTTATGTAATGTATTGTATATTTATACATCTGTAATTAATTGCACATTAGGTAAGCAAGAGGATTAGCTTCGGAATAACACCCGTCGGTACTTCACAGCTAACACTGGCTATGCGTAGGCATCTTTCTGGTACTCCTGCACTCGTAGTTCGTGCTCGTTGATGCTGTGGCGGGTGTTTTTGTTGAGGGTGCAGCTGTTCACCTGCTGCTCAGAGGGAGGATACTCGTGCTGCTCCGCAACGGTTCGCTGAATGTACTTTAAAATGGGTCTCTAACGTGCGCGTGGCATCTCTCCATTGTGGTTAATAACCCAACTACGTGGTCTGAACTGTACTGTATGTAGCAGGCATGTATTAATTTTGTGCTTCCTTGTTTAAAAACATCAGCTGTTCAAGAACAGGATTGACTTTTTTTTTTTGTTCAGAAGGCCATTTATGCGTTCTAAGTATTTGAAATTAAAACCAGCCCAACACTAACCAGATGATTGTGTCCAATGTTACTTGGAACAGTTTTAAATTAACAGGATCAGCTGTGTATTCAGAAAACTGAGGGTATGGAGCTCCTAAGTCTTCAGTTCTTCATGTTGCCAAGTTAACGGCCTGATCCTGAGCAGAACTGAACTACCTCTTGCTTGCCTTGGAACCAGGGAGTAGAAGCAGGAGTGTTGAGCCATCAGCATTTCCCAGGATCAGTTCTTAATTTTCCACCCTGCTTGTTCATACTTCATGTGCAGTTCATTAAGGTTCTTGAATTTGGGCCTCCGACATGCTGTTTGCACTGAAACACATCCTTTCTTTAATTGCGGCCCTCGTTTCCCTGTCCAATCTCTCTGTACACAAGGTATACAAGGGATATGCTGTATAAGTGGCCTTCTTGAACAAATCTCTGCAAACTGATTTCATCCCAGCGAAGGAGTGTATCAGCAACACTGTACATTAATTTCAGGTTTTCATTTTCTTATTTTATTTTGTAAATATATCTGATATTTGGAGCTTGAGTATACAAAATGTAAATATAGTTCATGTATTTGTACTAATTCTGATCCATTTGCTGTATAGCCTTAGGTGTGCAATGCAGATATCTAACCGTGTATGGTAACCTTGCACCACTGAATTGGTAGTGAAACAATAAAGGTACAACCAGTGCATTAGCCGACGCAGCGTGTGCTCCTTTCAGCAGGTGAGTCGTCGCTTGCTTTCCCGTGTCCTGAACCAACTTCTGCTTCTGTGACACGGTTCAGCTCTTCTTGAGAAAGATGAGGGGCCCTTCTTGCCCTTCCTCATTCTTCTCCCATTGATACGCAGCATTTCTGTGTAGTCTTTTGGGATGCTTTCAAAAGATTCTTTTGCTTGAAAGGTAAAAATAAGGGTGTCCTAGTGCTGCCAGTTCTGTGCTTCCCTGGGGATGACCATTAAAACCGACGGGAAGCGTGTGAAATCACGCTACCAAAAAACGACAGCGGAGGAAAAGGCACCAGCTCTGCGGACGCGCCGGGGAATCCCTGTGAACCCATCTTGGGCTGGAAGTGGGAAGTTCTTCGCGGCTTTGAACAGTCAGGGTGAGGAAACTGGACACAAAAGCTTTTAAGCCCCGCAGGAATGGGCTACCATTTGCTGCCAAAATCAGCTTCATGAGGGCAAAACGCTTTCACCAGGCTTGGTCACCGGGAAAGCTGCCGTGGGCGGCTTCTTGCAGGTCAGCCCGTGCTTTTCAGTTGGGCACCCGGGTAACGTGTTACCTCTTCTGCTCGCTCTCCCGACGGCTTGTTTAGCACTTCAGGGGAGCCGCTGCTTTCACATTCATTCGCTCTC